TCCCCCCCTTAAAAAGAATTTCGTCCTCGAAATTACCTGAGTCATTGGTCGTCGAAGAGATGAGGGTACTGAGTTCGCATAGATTCTTCGGTCTCCCAGGTTGCTTCTTCCACCGCATGATTACGCCATAGTACCTTTACCAAAGGTACCGTCTTATTTCTTAGTACTTTAGTTTCGCGCGCCAAGATCTTAACTGGTTCTTTTTCGTAAGACAAACTCTCATCGAGGGTTACAGCATTGGTCGGCAACACATGAGTCGGATCTGAACGGTATCTACGTAGCATGGAGACATGAAAGACGTCGTGAATCCTGTTCAACTCTGGTGGCAACTCTAACCTGTAAGCAACAGGTCCTATTCGCTCCAGAATGCGATAGGGTCCAATGAATCAAGGGCTAAGCTTCCCTTTCTTCCCGAACCATGTCACCAACATTGTACTCTATGTCTCGTCTCTTCAAGTCTGCATAAGATTTCTGTCTGTCCGAAGCAGTGCGGAGTCGGTCTCTGATCACACGAACCTTCTCCTCGGTTTCCAGCACAATATCTGGTCCCTCGAGCTTACGCTCGCTAAGCTCTGTCCAACAAATCGGGGTTCGGCACTTTCTGCCGTAGAGTGCCTCATAAGGAGCCATCTGAATACTCGCCTGGTAACTGTTATTATATGCAAACTCCATCAACGGCAAGTAACGCTCCCAATCTTCTCCAAAGTCGATCACGCAAGCTCGCATCATATCCTCGACAATCTGTATCACCCTCTTGGACTGGCCATCGGTCTGAGGGTGAAATGCTGTACTAAGGTTCAAAGCTGTGCCAAAAGCCTTCTGAAGTCCTCTCCAGAACTTCGAAGTGAACCGGGGATCTCTATCGGATATGATTGACAGTAGTGCACCGTGCAACCGAACTATCTCTCTAACGTATAAGTCTGCCAATTTGTCCAAGGAAGAGTCACGTCTGACGGGTAGAAAATGAGCGGACTTTGTCAACCTGTCAACAATGACCCATACGGCGTCATTCTTTCGTGAAGATCGTGGCAATCCGATCACAAAGTCCATAGTGATCCTTTCCCACTTCCATTCTGGAATGGTAGGAGGGTGCAGCAACCCTGTCGGAACCTGGTGCTCAGCCTTGACTTGCTGACAAGTCAAACAGCGCGCAGTGAACTCGGAGATTTCCTTTTTCATAGCTGGCCACCAATAGGATTTCTTCAAATCCTGATACATCTTGTTACTACCCGGGTGCATAGTGTATACGGTTCCGTGAGCCTCGCGCAACAAGCGATCCCTCACTCCACCGTGGGGCACCACTAGGCGTTCATGATACTACAAGACTCTGTCATCGCGAATTGCAAACTCGGGCCTCTTTC